AAGTAGTCCTAAATAAATGGAAAAGTTTCCTGTGTTCTGCACCAGAAGACTTAATATTGTTAAGATGGCATTACTCCCCAAATCTATCTACAGATTCAACATAGTCCTTCTCAAAATCAGCTACTTTTTTTGCAGAAATTGACAACAGATCCTAAAATTTTATAGAAATGCAAGGACTCAGAATCATTAAAACTACTTTGGGAAAGAAGAAAAGTGGAGGAGGACTCATGCTTCTTCATTTCAAAACTTATTCTAGAGCTACAGTAATTAAGACTCTGTGGTACTGCCAGAAGGCTAGATATATAGATCAATGGCATAGAATGGAGAGTCCAGAAATAAACCCATACATCAATGGTCAACCGATTTTCAGCAAGAGTGCCAAGACCATCCAATGGGGAAATAATAGTCTTTTCAACAGATTGTGCTGGGGTAACTGGATATCCTTATGCAAGAGAATGAATTCAGACCCCTACCTCAATAAAACCCCTACCCCTACACGACAGATATTAACTCAAAATGGATCAGACCTAAATGTAAGAACTACAACTATAAACCTCTTAGAAGAAAACTAAGAGATTTAGGAATAAATCTCTGTGACCTTGGATTAGGCAATGGTCTCTTAGATACAACACCAAAAGCACAAGCAACAAAAGAGAAAATATATCAGACTTCATCAAAATGTTTGTGCTTTAAAAGATACCAACAAGGGGGGGGCGCCTGGGTGGCTCAGTCGTTAAGCATCTGCCTTCAGCTCGGGTCATGATCCCAGAGTCCTGGGATCGAGCCCCGCATCAGGCTCCCTGCTCAGCGGGAGGCCTGCTTCTCCCTCTCCACTCCCCCTGCTTGTGTTCCCTCTCTCGCTGTCTCTCTCTCTATCAAATAAATAAATAAAATCTTTAAAAAAAAAAAAAGATACCAACAAGGGGCGCCTGGGTGGCTCAGTTGGTTAAGCGACTGCCTTCGGCTCAGGTCATGATCCCGGAGTCCCTGGATCGAGCCCCGCATCGGGCTCCCTGCTCCGTGGGAAGCCTGCTTCTCCCTCTCCCACTCCCCCTGCTTGTGTTCCCTCTCTCGCTGTCTCTCTCTCTGTCAATTAAATAAATAAATAAAATCTTAAAAAAAAAAAAGACATACATTTCATAAGGCGATAGCTGCCATAAATAGTGATTCCTCTGATGGATCTAGGTAAAGTAAATTTAAAAACTTCTGGAAAGGATTCACTAATCTATTTTTTTAAAGATTTATTTATTTGGTGGGGGAGAGAGAGCATGCACACATGAGTGGGGGGAGGGGCACAGAGAGAGGGAGAGAATCTCAAGCAGACTCCCAGCTGAGCACAGAGCCCAATGCAAGGCTGGATCCTAGGACCCCGGATCATGACCTGAGCCGAAGGCAGACGTTTAACTGACTGAGCCATGCAGGTGCCCCAGGATTCACTATTCTAGATGCCATTAAGAACATTTGTGATTAACATTAATAGGAGTTTGGAGAAAGTTAAATCCAGCCCTCATGGATGACTTTGAGGGGTTTAAGACTTCAGTGGAGGGGCGCTCAGTCAGTTAAGCAGCTGCCTTCTGCTCAGGTCATGATCCCAGGGTGCTGGGATCGAGCCCCACATCGGGCTCCTTGCTCAGTGGAGAGCCTGCTTCTCCCTCTTCCTCTGCCTGCCTGCCACTCCCCCTTCTTGTGCTCTCTCTCTCACTCTCTTTCTCTGTGTCAAATAAATGAATAAAATCTTAAAAAAAAAAAAAAAAAAGACTTCAATGGAGGAAGTAGCTACAGATGTGGTGGAAACAGCAAGTTGAACTAGAATTAGAAGTGGAGCCTGAAGATGGGACTGAATTGCTTCAATCTCACAGTAAAACTTTAATGGGTGAGGAACTGCTTCTGATGCATGAGCAAAGAAAGTGGTTTCTTGAGATGGAATCTACTCCTGGTGAAGATGCCGTGAAGATTGTTGAAATGACAACAGAGGACTTAGAATATTCCATAAACTTCATTGATACAGCTGCAGCAGGGTTTGAGAGGATTGCTCTAGTTCTGAAAGAATTCCCATTGCAGGTAAAATGCTATCGAACAGTATCACGTGCTGCAAATTGTTCATGAAAGGAAGAGTCAACCAATGTGGCAAACTTCACTGTTGTCTTATATGAAGAAGTTTCCACAGCCACCCCAGCCTTCAACAACCACCACCCTGCTCGGTCAGCAGCCATCAACATCCGGGCAAGACCCTCCACCAGCGAAAAGATTACAACTCCCTGAAAACTCAGGTGATGGTTAGCAATTTTCTAACACTGAAGTATTTTTAAGTTAAGGTATACACATTGTCTTTTTAGACATAATGGTATTGCACACTAAATAGACTACACTATAGTGTAAACATAACTGTTACCTGCACCATGAAACCAAGATTCATTTAACTTGCTTTACTGCAGTATTTGTTTTATTTCAGTGGTCTGGAACTGAACCTGTAATATCTCTGAGGTATGCCTGTATAGAAAGAACTCTTACCACCCAATGGTTAAAAAAAAAAAATCTAATTAAAAAATAGATGAGGAATTTGAATAGGCATTTCTCCAAAGAAGACACTTCTCCAATGAGTTACCACTTCATACATATTAGGATGGTTAGAAATCATAAAGAGACATAACAAATGTTGGTGATGATATGGAGAAATTGGAGCCTTCATACATTGCTGGTGGAATTGTAAAACGGTGCAGCCACTTTCCAAGAGTTTGGCAGTTTCTCAAAATGTTAGACGGAATTACCATATGACCTAGCATTTCTACTAAGTATATACCCAAAAGAATCGAAAACTTGTCCACACAAAAACCTGCACACAAAATTTCATAGCATTATTCATACTAGCCCCAAAGTGGGAAGAACTTTTCTTTTGAAAATTGCTATATCTCTAGTGAGTTACGGGATATTAGTATGTCCTTCCCGACATTTTCCAAGTTAGTCTATAAATTCTAGAGAACAGAAAAATCAGGTGAGTATTGGAGAATATATTTTGGGAAAGGAGAGAAATTATAAAGGAAGTACTAGATTGTGAAGCTTTTATAAAAGTGTGTGCAGTGTGAGTTTTGCATACAGATAAGTCAAATGAATTACTTAGTTATCCTTGATAATGTGGGAAATTACTGATCTCTATTATTAGAACAGGTATGTTTATAAATTTGAAGAAGCAGTATATTTATTGGAAAGGATTGAAAAGGATTTTGGTGTATGGTTCAAGTAGTGGTGAGTTTTCAACTTTAAGCCTATACAAATTTGGGGCAATATTATGACTCTTGGACTTTTTCTACTGTGTTCACAGAGTATAAGTAACATTGAAAAGCATTTCAGTTATTTATAACATAAATGCAAGGTATTTTATGGAAGTGCTTTATATTGACCTACTTGTTATGTACTATTTTAATTTCACATCCTTTAGATATTTGGATTTGAACTGCATTTTGGAATTCATCGTTACGAACAATGTCACCATCAAATGAAGTTCCAGTTAGACCCACCCCCCCAGATGGCGGCTGGGGGTGGGCAGTGGTTGTTGGAGCTTTTATATCCATTGGCTTCTCTTGTGCATTTGGCAAATCTATTTCTGTATTTTACAAAGAAATTGAAGAAATGTTTAATGCCAGCACCAGCGAAGTGTCCTGGATCTCTTCTATTATGTTTGCTGTCATGTATGGGGGAGGTAAGTACCCAGAAGGCCTACCCTTTTAATTTTCAATAGGCAGACAAAGGCTCCATTTTAAATAGTTTTTGTTCTTGATGCCTTTATGTGTAAGATATTTAAAATGTTAGTTTTTGAAGCTAGGTAGTTGGAGTCATATTTTTCATTCCCTTTAACAATAAAGGCTACATACAACCATGTGCTGTTAGGTCAGTTGTATTGCAAAAACAAATATCATTATAAAGGATAACTTTCTTTAAAAATGGTTTTGTGTTGGTTGCTGGTGTATGGAAAGTCAATTGATGTTTGTGGGGTTTTTTTCTTTTTTTAAAAATATTTTCTTTATTTGACAGACAGAGAGACAGAGAGAGAGGGAACACAAGCAGGGGGAGTGGAAGAGGGAGAAGCAGGCTTCCTGTGGAGTGGGGAGCCCAGTGCGTGGCTCGATCCCAGGACCCCGGGATCATGACCTGAGCCGAAGGCAGACGCTTAACGGCTGAGCCACCCAGGCACCCCTGATGTTTGTGTTTTAATTATATATCCCTGCTAACCTCTATTACTTCCAATAGTTTATTGGTAGATTTTTTTTTTCAAAATTTTAAGATAGACAAACTTATCTTTTGCAAATACTGATAGTTTGGTTTCTTCCTTTCCTTACACCTTTCTTGCCCCCCTGTCTTACTGCACTGCCTCGGACCTCCTGTATAATGTTGAAGAAAAGTGGTGATGGTAGGCATTCTTGTTTTGTAGTTCTGTTTTGGTTTTGTCATTGTTTTCTATGAGAAACAAAGTACATTTCAGCTAATTTGAAAATATGCTCTAACGTCAGAAGTTTGATCAGACTTGCTCATACATTGCATCATGTTCATGTGCATTTGCTCCAGATGATCATCTAAAAAATTAAAAACAGAGCAAACTTGCTACATACATATTGATAATATCCTAGATACATAGGATACATGTACATGAAAAATCCTATAAACACTTACAATCAGGGTATTTGCAGCCTAATCTTCCTTGAAGGAGATAGGCTAAAGTCTTCCATACTTCAGTTAAAATCCATCCAGTATGTTCTAGGTATATAGAAGATGTACATGGTACATTATACAATCGATGCTATATTTTTCCCATTACACAAACCTGTGACTCTGAAATAAAATAGAAAGCAATATTTCTTACCACTGTCTTCTGATTTATCTGTTTATTTGTGGGGTGGGGTATTTATGTCTTGGCATCCTTTTGTGTCAGTAATGCTTTGTGCAGGTGTGGATGTGAGGGGTGGGCTTCTCTCCGTTACTAAATTTCTGGTTCTCTCCTAGGTCCTGTCAGCAGTATCCTGGTGAATAAATATGGCAGTCGTCCAATCATGATTGTTGGTGGCTGCTTGTCAGGCTGTGGCTTGATTGCGGCTTCTTTCTCCAACACTGTACAGGAACTTTACTTGTATATTGGATTCATTGGAGGTGAGTTGCTACTGATGTATTTTCAAGCATTAATTTTTATGTGGACTCTATAGCATTCATCTGCCAACTCTTTTGAAAAATGAAAATTCTTTGTTAGAAAAATTATTGGATCACCATTTTTAAGAGCTATACGTATGTTAATTTCATAGTACCAGAGAAACATGTCTTTTTTTTTTTAAGATTTCTTTTTCTTTTTTTAAGATTTTTATTTATTTGCGAGAGAGAGAATGAGAGACAGCGTGAGAGAGAGGAGGGTCAGAGGGAGAAGCAGACTCCCTGCTGAGCAGGGAGCCTGATGTGGGACTCGATCCCAGGACTCCAGGATCATGACCCGAGCTGAAGGCAGTCGCTTAACCAACTGAGCCACCCAGGTGCCCCTGTCTCTCTTTTTTTTTTTAAGATTTTAGTTATTTATTTGAGAGAGAGAGAGAGCATGGGGGGGGAGGGGGCAGAGGGAGAAGCAGACTCCCTGCTGAGCAGGGAGCCCTGACACAGGGCTCAATACCAGGACCCCAGGATCATGACCTGAGCCGAAGGCAGATGCTTAGCCAACTGAGCCATCCAGACACCCCCAGAGAAACAGGTCTTTAAAGAAAGTTCTGGCACTTTGGGGTGGTTATTTTTTTATTGAAAGAGAGGGTTTTTTTCTTTCTTCTTTTTTAAAAAAAATTATTTTTTTGTCTTAAGAAACATAGTGGCCATAAGTAAAGAGTGTGTGGCAAGTTGTTGAAATGGTGGTCATCAGCTATTCCCACTCATTATCCTTCTACCCAAGAAGAAATTGTTTCAAATTAGAGTAAGAGAGAATGTCAGAAACAAGCAAGAATTTTTTGGTAGAGAAGCCATATACATTTTCAAGGGATTAAGGACACACATGAGAAAACCTCTTTCCCCCTTTCTCATAGCTAAATTTGGGAAATGAAACTGCTGAGGATAAAGAATATAGATCATCCATTGCCCTACAATTCAGAGGAAACCATTAATATTTTGATGCTCATACATTTTTTATGCATACACATATGCTTTTTTAGTATAATTTTTGCAACCAGTTTTTTTTTTTTTACTTACTAATACATTATGTATATAGTTCCCCATCTCAATAAACATACTCTAGCAGCTACTATTTTTCCATTGGATGGATGTGCCATAGTTTATTTCACCATTTTCTAATTGAAAGACCTTTCGGTTGTTTATATTTTTCACTATTAATAAACACTATTTGTATGATAGTGCTTCTCTGTATTTCTTTGTGAACATGGTAATTTCCTTAGGACAGATTTTAGAAGTGAAATTACCGGGGGAAGTTTTTGATATGATTGGCCAAATATCCTTTTAGAAAGGTTCTAATAGGGACGCCTGGGTGGCTCAGTTGGTTAAGAGACTGCCTTCGGCTCAGGTCATGATCCTGGAGTCCCGGGATCGAGTCCCGCATCGGGCTCCCTGCTCAGCAGGGAGTCTGCTTCTCCCTCTCCCGCTCCCCCCTCTTGTGCTCTTTCTCTCTCTCTCAAATAAATAAATAAAATCTTTTTTTTTTTTTAAGATTTTATTTATTTATTTGACAGAGACAGAGATAGCGAGAGCAGGAACACAAGCAGTGGGAGTGAGAGAGGGAGAAGCAGGCCTCCCGTCGAGGAGGGAGCCCGATGTGGGACTCGATCCCAGGACCCTGGGATCATGACCTGAGCCGAAGGCAGACGCTTAATGACTGAGCCACCCAGGCGCCCCAATAAAATCTTTAAAAAAGAAAAAAAGGAAGGTTCTAATAATGTACAGTCCTACCTGCAGGATCTGAGATAATGCTAATAACAGGTATTTTCTTTTTGGATCTGTACTTTTACTACATTAATTAAAATTTTAAACATTTAAATATTGTAATTCATCTAGAGTATTTGAATAACAGGAAGGAACAGAACTTTATTTGTTCCCACTTAGTTATTCAGCCTGTTTGTTAGTAACTCATTCAATAAATATTTGTCCCTACTGTATGTCAGGGACTGTTCCAAGCTCTGTGGGGATTGAGTCAACATGATAGATAAGATTCCTGCTCTGTAGTGGAGGGAAGCAGACAATAAACAGACCAACAAATAAATGAGTAAATAAGAAAAATATCAGCTTGTGGTAAGTGCTTTGCAAAAACTTGAAACAGAATTTTGATGGAGAAAGATTGAATAGTCCCTAAAGGGAAGTCCTCTTAGAGTTGGTGACCTTGAGTTGAGATCTGAATGATAAGTAGGAGCCAGGCTTGTGAAAATCTAGAGGAATAACTGTGCTGAGCACGTATGAGAATACACTGAGATGCGGATAGGAAGGTAAGTAAGGGCTTACCTACCAAGGGAGCAAGAATGGGAGACCATTTAGGAGGTTATTGGGATACTTGTTTCAGCTCCATCGATTGAAAAATCTACTCTTTCCCTATTAATATAAATATATCTTTTGGTCCTATTTCTGGACTTTTCCCCAATTATCAGTTTTTCCATTTTTGACTAAGTGCACACTGTTCTCATTACTGTAGCTGTAGAAAATATTTCTATATCTGTTAGTGTTGGTCCCACCAATTATTTATACTTTTTGAATATTTCTAATGTATTTGTTCTCTGAGGGGTATTTTTTTTTTTTAAGATTCATTTATTTATTTTAACGAGAGTGTGAGAGAGCGGGGGGAGGGGAAAAGGAAGAGGGAGAGAATCCCAAGCAGACTCCTGACTGAGTGCGGAGCTAGACATGGGGCTCAATCTAACGACCCTGAGATCATGACTTGAGCCAAAATCAAGAGTCGGATGCTTAACTGACTGAGCCACCCAGGCATCGCGTCTCTGGGTATATTTTACAGTCATTGTACTTCGTCTGAAAAATTGAATGCATTGACATTTTCATTGAAATTACATTAAATTAGGGGCACCTGGGTGGCTCAGTTGGTTAAGCAGCTGCCTTCGGCTCAGGTCATGATCCTGGAGTCCCTGGATCGAGTCCCGCATCGGGCTCCCTGCTCGGCGGGGAGCCTGCTTCTCCCTCTGACCCTCCCCCCTCTCATGAGCTCTCTCTCTCTCTCATTCTGTCTCAAATAAATAAATAAAATCTTTTAAAAAAAAGAAATTACATTAAATTAATGGATTTACTAAGGTAATGTTAGCATCTTCACAATATTGTGTTTACTGTCCTAAAATATTTTCTCTCTCCCCATCCCTTTCTTCTTTTCCTGCCCGTCTGCCCCTCCTCTTCTGTCTTGCTCTCTGATTTTACAAGATTTATCCTCTCTCCTTTTTGTTTTCAATTCCCTATTCTTCAGGAAACCTAAAATTATGAAATTAAACAAAGGAGCCTACATTTATTATTCTTATTTTTGCTAAAGCAAAAAGAATTATTTTAATGTTATATTTTAAGTCTATTATTTGTTGCATAAAGAGACTTTATGTCTGTATTTGATAATAGCCCACTTAATGATCTACTAGTTATAATGATGATTTTGACCTCTTGCCATTCAGTTTGTCTAGCTGATTAATAACAAATATGTTTCTGACATTTATTACGTATGTAATTCTTCCCCCCTCCTCCCCAGGTCTTGGGCTTGCCTTCAACTTGAATCCCGCTCTGACCATGATTGGCAAGTATTTCTACAAGAGGCGACCGTTGGCGAATGGACTGGCCATGGCAGGCAGCCCTGTGTTCCTCTCCACTCTGGCCCCCCTCAGTCAGGCTCTCTTTGGTATCTTTGGCTGGAGAGGGAGCTTCCTAATTCTTGGGGGCCTCCTACTAAACTGCTGTGTAGCTGGAGCCCTGATGCGACCAATAGGGCCCCCACCAACAAGTGCAGGGAAAGATAGGTCTAAAGAATCCCTTCAGGAAGCTGGAAAATCTAATGTAGAAAAGGAGGCAGGTGATGCAAATACAGACTTTAATGGCGGAAACGCCAAAGAAGAGAAACGATCAGTTTTTCAAACAATTAACACAGTTATGGATTTATCCCTGTTTACCCACAGAGGCTTTTTACTGTACCTCTCTGGGAATGTGATAATGGCTTTTGGGATGGCTACTCCTTTAGTCTTTCTTAATAGTTATGCCAAGTGTCAACATTACTCTAGTGAGAAGTCTGCCTTCCTTCTTTCCATTCTGGCTTTTGTTGACATGGTAGCCAGACCATCTATGGGACTTGTAGCCAACACCAAGTGGATAAGACCTCGAGTTCAGTATTTTTTTGCGGCTTCTATTGTTGCAAACGGAGTGTGTCATCTGCTAGCACCTTTATCCTCCAGCTATACTGGGTTCTGTGTCTATGTGGGCTTCCTTGGATTTGCATTTGGGTGGTTTAGCTCAGTGTTGTTTGAAACACTGATGGACCTTATTGGACCCCAGAGGTTCTCCAGCGCCGTGGGATTGGTGACCATTGTGGAATGCTGTCCTGTCCTCCTGGGGCCACCACTTTTAGGTATAGTATGCCTTACTACCTCTTTGGTTCTGTTAACATGAAACAGGCATAGAAGATGGAAAAGGTGATAGAAAGCCAAGATTAGTAAGCTGCTTGGTGGCAGAAAGTATTTCTCATTTCTGTAGCCTCAGTGTTGGCACAGTGCTGGGCACAGCATAATTGCTCAGATTCTTACAGAATTGAATTACATTCAAACATCAAGCTGAAAGGGGAGTCAAAAACAATTGCAAATTTAAATATTTGTTAAAATAACCTTTTCTGATCATAAAATTAACATGTTTATTATAGAAAAATATATAATCTATACTCCACCTTTAAAGTACTTTGGTAATTTCATTTTAATTGTGGAATTTATCTTAGTAGTAACATTTAAAATAATAACAATATTGACCAGGTGAGGGTTCACAGTGTACCAGGGACTGTCTTAATCATTTCATATACCCCATCCTATCTCTCAAGTCTATGAGGTAAGACTAATAATGTCCCTACTTTATCAGTGAAGAAACAGAGGCTTCTAAAAGTGAAATAACTTGCCCAAGATCACACAACTAGTAAATGACCATAAAACTTGATGGATGATTCTCTAAAAATACCAAATTGTTTACAATTTAAAATTATTATTAATGCAAAATGCAATAATCATTTAGACTTCCTCTGGATATGACTCATTCTTTTGAGATTATGCATTATAAATAAGGAAGGATTCATAAAAGAAGAGCCACTACTGACTTTTCTGAACTCCCCACCCTCATTCCTCCCTACATCCAATGAGAGTCCAAGTCCTATAACTAAGCTCCTAAATCTCTTTCTAATGGACCCACTTTTCCATCACACCACCACCCTGTCCACAGCTCCTGTCTCCCATCTGGGCTGCTCCATCCACGAGCCTCCTGGCTGGTCTACCATATCCATTCTATCCGGCCTTCAATCTTTTCTACTCTGCCGGCAAAATTTATCTGTGCAAATGCAAACCTGATAGCCCAGCTGATTAGATCTTTCCAGTTGCTTCCCATTGTTGTCAGGGTGGAGATCAGATTCCCTAATGTGGCCTATGAGGCGCCCCCCAGCTTGGCCACCAATGTCTCCAGCCTCATTTCCTGTCACTCACCTTTTGTTCTCTCTGCTCCAGCAGCCCCGCCCTTCCTCCTTCCCTCTCACACCCCGCTTCCTCCCACCTACCTTTGCACTTGCTGTTCCCTGGCCACAGCCTTCTGCCATCCCTTCCTCCTGGATAACTCCCATCCCCCTCTAGGTCTCTGCTTCATTTACACTTTGAGAGAAGCCTTCCTGACCCTGCTTGCTGCTGCCAACCCCCGATTTTCTGCTTGCAAACCCTCCTTGTCACGGTTTGTGTAATTATTTGATTAACATTTCTCTTGTCCACTGAACTGTGGAGGTTTTCTCCTCTGCTCTCCCTTATCCTCACGGCCAGCAGCCCAGTGCCTGGTGCAAGCGTAGGCTCAGTGAGTTTGGCTGGATGGCCAGTGCCCTGAGTTAGAAAAGCACATGGAATCCTGTTTGAATTGGTTATATTCAGTCCTTCTCTGAGGTATAGAGTAGGGTTTTCCAGAGTTTATTCCTTAACATGCCAATTTGTGAAGTGCTAATAAATTCTACTATCGTGAGGATTTCATGGCCAAAAACATTTGGGGAACACCAAGTTTGACAGATTGCTCTACTAGAGGACCTTGCAGAACCTTTAATATGCTAATGCACGTGGTGACTCTTCACTGGAGGAGTCTAGGATGTGCCTTTTCTTAAGTCTGACTTTGTAGACAGTGAGCGTGATGACAGATGCTGCCTGTCGTGAGGGCTAAGCACTTAAGATGGTGGAAAGGTGTTGCTGTTAGTTAATTCTGTAGCTTCGACAAGTGTCCCCAGGGCCGCTTTTTGGGAATGCTGATGTCAACAAAAGAGCATTGGCAGGGGACTGCAATTAGCTCTGGGGCCTGGGGCAAGACTCCTACACCTCTTTTGAGCAACAAATTTTTCCATTGTGAAGGGAGAGACTTGATTCTAGGTGATCTCTGGGTCTTTCCCCATTCCAATTGGCCAAGACTTCATTACTTTCAAGGTGCAAAAGTAATGGGATATGCAAGGCCATCTAAAATCAAATGTGACATCATAAAAGATGAGATCATTGTTAACAGTTCCTTTTTAGATGAATCTGTCATTTATGGGCTCTTTGAGGATTGGTTGACATCTTCTTTCTGAGTGGATCCTTCAGCTCTCTTTGGGGAAGGTATACTTGGTTACTTTTGTCCACATAACTTTGTTTTGGATATCTTTAGGTCATCTGAATGACATCTATGGAGACTACAAATACACCTACTGGGCATGTGGTGTGATCCTCATTATAGCAGGCATCTATCTCTTTATTGGCATGGGCATCAATTATCAACTCGTGGCAAAAGAGCAGAAAGCAGAGAAGCAGCAGAAAAAGGAAAGTAAAGAGGAGAAGCCAAAAGAAGTTATTAAAGCAACAGAATCTACGGAACAGAGAGGCCCATGAGGCCCCAAAGAGGAGAAACTTCCCATCTGAATCATGAATAACCAGAGGAGCTTTGGACCAAAAATACCTGAAAAATTCTACTGAATCATGTTCTGTTAGGGCTGCTCATCATTGTCATGGGACATTTGTGTGGAAGTCCTACGGATGAGGGAGCAGAAGGCTAGCTGAGGACAAAGCACAAGCTGACACCCTGCAACCGCCCTGCTCCCCAACTCCTGAATGGAATACATGTGATGTTCCTCCAGGAAGCTCCCAACTGTCTCAATGTTAATACCTGACTAGAGGGAAAAACAACCTTAACTATGGCAAGGCCTCCAGTATCTTGTAGGTCCTCTTTAGCATATGAAAGTTCTTTAGAAAACCTCTCTTTTCCTTACCTCCCCCAACCCCATAGTATATAATCAGCCACCCCTCACAACCCCGGTGCAGCAGTTCTTTCTGTCCACGGGTCCTGTCCCCGGGCTTTAATAAAACCACCATTTTGCACCAAAGATGTCTCAAGAATTCTTTCCTGGTCATCGGCTCCAGACCTCATCCCACTAAACCCACCTGTATTCAAGAACTACATCAATACCAAGTGTCCATTGATGGGATTTTTATTTCATGCCTTTACAGCAGTCATAATGCATTTGTCACATCCTTTGGGGTCAGGGGATTTACAAAAGATAACAGATGGTAATCGCTTCTATTTGAAGTCATATTTATTAAGGTATACTTTACATACAGGATAAATCTCTTTCATAAGACTAAAGTTTGATGAATGGTATTTGTATAAATAACTCCCACCCCCATAGAGAACATTTCAAACAAGCAAGATAATTCCCTCCAGCCTCTCGGCGGTCACTTCCTTTCTCTTACCTACAGCTCCTGGCAACCACTGATCTGAATTCTGTCCCCTATAGTTTTGCCTTTTCCAGAACAGAATAAATGAAATCACAAGGCATGTAGCTGGCATAATAAGAAATATATATCTGGTCTTTGTCCCTAGTTCCTGGTACACTGTTCCTAAAACCCTTGGATTTCCGAAGTGATGAGTGTCTTCTGCATGCTAATTAGATGACTGGTGGCTGGAACCCCCTAGATAGCTTCAAGAATGAGGCTGGTCTCCAGAAAGACCAAGGCATGATTAGAGGGTAGGAACTTCCAGCCCCTGCCCATGACCCCTTGTGGAAGTTGAGTTCAATTACTAAGAGCTAATGATTTAATCAGTTGTGTCCATGTAATGAAACCTCCATAAAAACTCCTAAACTACAAGGCTTAGAGAGCTTCCTGGTTGGTGGATACATTGACGGGCTGGTGTTGGGAGGGTAGCGTGCTCAGGCAGGGCATGGAAGCTCCATGCCATGCCTCCCCACATACCTTGCCCATTGCGGCCCTTCTGTTTGGCGGTTCCTGCATCGTATCCTTTAGAAATAAATAAATGTAAGCAAAGTGTTTCCCTGAGTTTTATGAAATTCCTGGCAAATTAGCAGACCTGAGAAAAGAGTGATGGGAATTCCGAGCTTAGAGCTAGTTGGTCAGAGATACTGGTGGCACCCCAGGGCTTGTGACTGGAATCTGAAGTAAAGGCAACCTTTAAACCTGTGGAGTCTGACACTAACTCTACAGACTAAGTGTCAGCATTGAACGGAAGTGTAGGACACCTAGTTTAGAGTCTGGAGTTGGAGAAGGGGTTGTTGTTGTGGAAAAAATGGAATGTCAGAAGTGTTGTGAGTAATAGAGTAACTTCCGGTGTCTGGCTTCTCTGTTTTAAGATTTTATTTATTTAAGAGAGAGAGAAAGATAGCAAGAGAGAGCACGAACAGGGAGAGAGAGGAAGAAGCAGGGTCCCTGCTGAGCAGGGAGCCCAACAAGGGGCTTGATCCCAGGACCCTGAGATCATGACCTGATCCCAAGGCAAACACTTAACCAACTGAGCCACCCAGGCGACCCTGTGTCTGGCTTCTTTACACGGCATAATGTTTTATGATTAATCCATGTCATTGTATTTATACATAGTTTGTTGTTTTTTATTGCTGAGTAATATTTCTTTGTGTGGATGTGCCATAATTTGTAAATCTATCCACCAGTTGATGGACTCTGTTTTTTTCCACTTTTTGGCTATTATGAATAAAGCTGCTATAAACATTCACACAGAGGTCTGTGTAGACATATGCTTTCATTTCTCTTGGGAAAATGCCTAGCATTGGAGTTGCTGGGTCATGCGGCAAATACATGTTTAATTTTGTAAGAAGCTATAAAACTATTGTTGAAGTGGCCAGACCAATTTGTAATCCAACTAGCAATGTATGAGAGTTCTAGTTATTCTGCATCCTGACAGCACCTGGCATAGTCAGGCTCTTTAACTTTAATTTCTCTGACAACTAATGATGTTGACCATATTTTCATGTGCTTGGTCATCTGTATGTTTTTAGATAAGCCTTTTATTTATTTATTTTTTTCTCTCAACACAGAGAGAGCACAAGTAGACAGAGGGGCAGGCAGAGGGAGAGGGAGAAACAGACTCCCCACGGAGCGGGGAGCCCGACGCGGGGCTTGATCCCAGGACCCTGAGATCATGACCCGAGCCAAAGGCAGACGCTTAACCGACTGAGCCACCCAGGTGCCCCTAGATAAGCCTTTTTAATCCTGACATTTAACAGAGTCTTAAAAATATTTAAGTGCCTTACTTGTTGTGATGAACACTGGGTCTTATATATTCGTGATGAATCACTAAATTCTACTCCTGAAACTAATATTACACTATATGTTAACTAACTGGAATTTAAATTAAACACTGAAACAAACAAACAAAAATATTTAAGTGCCTCGAGTTTTTTGTCTTTCAGACTCTGGGTGACTTTTCCTGACATACCTGACAGTGAAATGAGCCCTATATTTGAAAATCCTTAAATGTGTAGCAATGTATTTAAATAGATGGTTATGAAGTCTAATAGCATGGAAAGATCCTTATGTTATAAACATGATACAACATTAAATGAAAAAAGCACAACACAAACTGGTTAGATCCATATATATAATGTACTTTTAGGGAAAAAAAAAAGAGGAGGGGAGGAATACACACAAAATTCCCACCATACTTGTGGTAGGATGGTGACTTTTTTTTCTATATTTGTTTTCCTGACTGGGAATGTGATTGTTACCTTTTCAGTAATAATCAGAAAAAATGAGTAGATTTGAAATAGAAGCATTCTGATAAGAGAAGCTTGTCTTCCAAGAAAATAAAGTTAATGATTATTCTAAGATATTGACACTGAACTCAAGAGAACAAATGGCCTCAAGTCATGATTTTGCTGGGACAGGACAGATGCTGTGGCATGCAGAGTCCACGGGGTGCCAGCCACCACTGCTGCCTTCTTTGAGACAGTGCTCCTGTAGTTCTCCTTCTGATCACCGTTCAGCTTCAAGTGAATGTTTAACTCAGGAAGCCTGACCATTCAGCACTTACCACATCCTAGGGTTACAGATGTTCTAGAACGTCATTTTACTGAGATCAACATCAGAAAAAATACAGTGTTAGGAAAAGGGAAATGTTGGTCAAAGGAGGAAATTGACCATTGACCTTTCCATACATGCATTCAACATGACATTTACCCTGTGCCAGTTCTAAGCACTGTTGTAGGCATTGAAGATTCTTTAAGGAACAAAATGTAACTATCTTCCATGGTTCTTCCTTTCTGGTAGGGGGAGACGGACAGTGAAGAGTTAAGTTATAAGGAAAACAGCAACTTAATGAATAGAACAATAGAACTAATGAAGACCAGCCTTCATTAATCCATTCATCTAAACAGCATTTTTTGGAGGGGCTCCTGGCTGGCTCAGCAGAGCATGCAACTCTTGATCTCAGGGTTGTGAGTTCAAGCCCCACACTGGGCGTGGAGCCTACTTAAAAAAATAATAAAACTTAAAAAAAACCCAGCATCTTTTGGGAGTATATTCTATGTGCCTATTTGCTGAATAGAAGAGATATAATAGTGAACAAAATTTGGTTCCTGGCATCCACAGCTTCTCGTCCAGTGGGGAGAACTATGTAGTAAGTGCTATGATGGGGCAGCACATAGAAAGGCAGCTATCTCAATCTTGGGAGGGCCTAAAAAGCCTAAAAGTATATACACACACACACACACACACACACACACACACATATTGAAGCTAATTTTTTTTTTTTTTTTTTTTTTTTAATTCATGAGAGACAGAGCGAGAGAGAAAGGCACAGGGAGAAGCAGGCTCCCAAGGAGCAGGGAGCCCGATGCGGGACTCGATCCCAGGACCCTGAGATCATGACCTGAGCCGAAGGCAGACGCTCAACCATCTGAGCCACCCAGGCGCCCTGAAGCTAATTTTTTTAATAATATCTATACCCAACATGAAGCTTGAACTCACAACCCTGAGATCAAGAGTCACATGCTCTTCCAACTGAGCCAGCCAGGTGTCCTTAAAAATATGTTCTTGAGCAAATTAAATAACTTCTCTTAGTCTCATAAAATAAGGATAATATAATTGTGAGTATTAAAGGTGTAAGTGCACAGCATATTGTTTTAAAGTCAGTTTAATAATGAAATTGGAATCTACGCCTACCCTGCAGTATAGTAAGGGAAGCATCAGTATGTTCCATCATTAACCAGAATAACAATGAAAAGGAACTGCTGGTAACATCTACATAGTTCTTCACAGTTTACAAAGCCCTTTCATTTTAATTCCAGGATAATTAACATACAGTGTTAGTTTCAGGCATATAACATATTGACTCAACAATTCTATACATGGGAGTTAAGATGGCAGAGGAGTAGGGGGACCCTAAGCTTGCCTTGTCTCTTGAACACAGCTAGATAAGTATCAAATCATTCTGAACACCCAAGAAACCAATCTGAGGACAGAGAGAACAAACTGCACATCCAGAGGTAGAAAAACGGCCACCTCATGGAAGGTAGGAGCTGTGGATAGTTGACTGGGGGAGAAAAGAATTGCAGGCGCTGTGAGGGGAGGGAGTCCTGATCATGGAGAGGTGAGTGAGAAAGAGAGAGAGAGAGACAGAATGAAAACAGCACACAGGGGATTGCACAAGAAAAACTCTTCCCCCAAACCACTGACTGGGAAAAGGAGAGGGGTGGCCTACCACAAGTTTTTATAAGCAGTGGAGCCCCCCCTGCACCCTGCAGGTGCATCTCCACTAGGGCAAGTCGGCCTGACAATCAGTGCAGCAGCCCCCCTCCCAAAGACCAGCACAAGCCCCTTCCATGCACCAAGTCTACTGATCATAGAGTGCTGCAAATCTTCAGCTCTAGAGGAAATAGGATCTAGCTTCTTTTTTTTTTCCAAATTTTTATTTAAATTCTAGTTAGTTAACATATAATGAAATAGTGGTTTCAGGAACAGAATTTAGTGATTCATCACTTACATATAACACCCAGTGCTCATCATAACAAGTGCCCTCCTTAATGCCTATCACCCATTTAGCCCATCCGGCCA